AACGCTAGTACTCAGCTTGCTTTTTTCTTTCGTAGTCTGACAGGTTGGGTCTTTCACCTCAATTAATCTCATCTAGAAAATCCCTAACAGACATACCCAGAGATTTGTCAAGGTGATTCTCAGTCCTATGAAGTTGACAATCCACATAAACCAGCACACTAGGCATGTGAACAGAAAGAACTGGGAGCACGAAGTGCCACCCAGAGCAATACACTGACAGGTCTGTAAATTACTCCTGTTCTTGGGGAAATGAGTGTTCTTTGAAGGATGCCTTGTTAAAGGGTGGTCCAAATGTAGCACCCACTGAGGACAGGAATTATTCTCAAGACTAAAGATGGCAATCCTGCTGCCTCAGCCTCCTGAGTGCTAGAATTCCAGGCATGCTGAGCTATTAGTAGTTTAATTTTTATGTATTCAGGAAAGAACAGAAATGATTGAATATAGTTAAAATCCACATGCCTTATTCTCTATTTCCCTCATTTTTGCTAAAAATTTTTATTAGCATTGCTTTCTTTAAAAAAATATAAGATTACACTGAAAAACTTTGTATAGGTTGAAGAATTTGGAATGGGAGTGAATGGCAAACTCACATTACAGCAACAGGGACAAATTTCACAGTATTGGTAGTACAGTCTCACTACTAAATAATATTCAAAAATTAAAGGAGACATAATTTCAAATTTACATTCTAAAATATAATTAGACATTTTTAGTTTGAAAATTATATCAGTTTAGCTATTACAATACTTTTTTCTTTTTGTAACTTTCTAGACTGATTTTTACCTCTAGAAGTTCAATGAGGTGTTTTGCAATTTTCTGTAGGGCACAGGTGAAGGTACACTGGGGCTGTAGAAAAGTAATAGAAAAACAATGGAAAACCTCTCAGTGCCTGGGAACAGGTGAGGTCCAACATCAAGGTCTAGAAGTCCATGACTAAATGTGGAGTCAAGACCACAGCTGGCCCTCAGGGAAGGTGGGAAATCCATTTTAGAGAATCAATCATTACAAGACCAGAATCTGCAAACAACAGAGACCTCCCTTGTCCCCAGCATAAGCCCAACATAGAGACAAAGCCACCACTATGCACAACCTGGGACCTCAGGGGAAGGGGCTGTGGGGAGTACAGCCACTCGGAGAAGGCTCAAACTGCTGCCCAACATCAGGAAGTCCTCCATCCTCCAATCTGCTCCACCATCACAGCCCACCACCAGAAGCATGTGGAACTGTGGCTGACAGTAGGGGACCACAGCTCCAGGTTCATGGGAGGGGGCTAGAGCTCCAGGTTCATGGGAGGGGACTAGAGCTCCAGCTCATAGACCACAGCTCTGGCTCATGGGGGTGAGCCACCACACAGGACCTGACCACAGCTCCAGATTGATAGGAGGGGATGAAAGGAGGGGACAACAGCCCCAGGCTTACAGGACATAATTTCATGTGTCTCCCTTTACTGATACACGAATTTCTCAAAATTTGTCCTGAAATTAGATTGGGGGCTGAGAAACTAGATGGGCAGACACAAATCGTCCCATGTAGTCCCATGAGAGAACATCACTGTCCCTAGTCTATTAGAAAGTTAAAATAGGCATGGTGGCACATCATTATAGCACAGCACTTGGGAGGTGGAGGTGGGAAGAGCAGGAGCTCAGTCAGCCTCTGCTATGTAACAAGTTTGAAGTCAGGTTGAGCTACAAGACCCGGCTCAAAAAATAGTTTTCAGCTTCTTTAAATTAATATACTTCAGCAGGGTCCAAAGTGTCCTCTTAAAAGTCTCCTTTAGGTGCTTTCTCTAACATAAGCTTTCTCCGCTTAGAATGAGCCTCTTAGGTACTTGGGTGTGAGGATTATACACTGGAGATGAAATTTTATTTTGGAAATTATACCATGAAGAGACTACAAACACAGTCAAGAATTTTCCAACATGGAATGATTATACTTACTATCCTGTGAGTTTCTAACTTTTGTAGAGGTAAAGAATTATTATCTGAAGATACATGATAGTCAATCTTTCATCATTAGAAACAAAGGACTGATTATACTTCCTGTTTTATCTAGAACCTCTCCTTTTATTTGGCACATCTTGCTCCTTGTTCCACAGCATCAGTTATGTGTGATCATTAAAGCTCTTGATGAATCAAAAATATTTTAATTTTTGTTAGTCCTTTATAGAAAATTCAGCATTGAATTAAAAAATGCAACAAAATGAATGGGGAAAAAACTTTTCCCAACAAGTTTGACTTATTGTCAATCACCAGTTGAAAAACCTTTCCCATCTCAACAGCTTCCTTTATAAATACAAAACCAACAATGTGAACTGTACTACTTCTATACTAAGAAATACAGGGGTTGTCATGTTCAAAATATAGAGCTGGATATTTTTCTTTTGATGACAGTTCCACTAGCCTCATGTTTTCGTAAATCACACAATTTTAAACAGCATTATCTATCCTGTTACTTCAAACAATTGAGATACAAAAATTTGGAACACTATAAATGCTGATTCACAAGAATATTACATAATTGGGGCTGAGGAGATGGCTTAGTAAGTGAAGCACTTGGTGCACAAGTGTGAAGACCTTAGTCTGAGGTCCTAGAACTCATGCAAGGTGAAGCATGGGGGGCCAGTGTCTACAATCCCAGTGCTCCTTCAGTGAAGTGGGAGGTGGTGAGGTGGTGAGATGGCAAGCTCCAGAAGCTGGTGGGCCAGATCCCCATGCAGTGGTAAACAGATCCTCTCAAACAAACAAGGTGCAATGTAGGATCAATACCTGAGGTTGTCCTCTGACCTCCACATGTGCATTGTGGCAAGTGTGCCACAAACGGGTCATGAACACACATACAGAACCCCTCTCTCTCTGTCTCTCTCTCACACACACAGACACACACATATTACATAATTCCTAATAACATGTTTCTTATGAATAGCAAATTAGTACTTAAAAACTTAAAAAAGAGACACAGAAGAGTAGACTTGGGGAGGAGTTCAGAGGGAGTGCAAAATGGATTAAGACAGTAATGGGGGTGAAAATGAGCAAAACACTAAATACATGTATGAAACTGTCAAAAATATTTTTTAAAAAGTTTAGTTTTTGTTCAGAGTTCAAGTGTATACTTTTGTTCAAAGAATTCAAGGGTATACATGTGCACACACATTTCCCAAAAACTAATACAAAGAGGCCATCAAATATTTGTAAACATGTAGAGTATTTTAGAATTTTATTGATCCACATGACTGATGATTCTTTAATAACTATCAAAAAAACACTGTCAATGATTTTGTAATTGAGCAAATTATTCCGGTCAATTTTTTTGTATGTGTACGTTTGTGTACCCAAGTGTTCACGCATGTGAACATGTGTATAGGCTTGAGGCTGATGTTGGGTGTCTTCCTCAGTAGCTCTCCACCTTAGTTTTTATTATTTATTTCTGGAGACAGTCTCTCACTGAACTTGGAGTTTACAGATTTGGCTAGAATGGTTGACCAGGGAGCTCATGCTTATATGGAAAGCACTTTACTGAGTGGTCTCCTGAGCCCCTCAATTAGAATTTCTACCAGTATAATTCGTTACTAACTGAAAATTTAAACTTTTACTGAAAAGACAGTTCTTGTTTTAAAAATTGCCACATAATATTTGCTAAAAGCCAATTTTAAGCGCAGGCATTACTATAATTTAGTAATCAGAATATGAATTTAAATGTCTTCTCCATTTCTTCAAAACCTAAAAATTATTAGATTCAAAATTTGAAATTTTGTACTACCATAACAAAATTGTTATCTTTTTTCAATACATACTTTTTATTGAATTTTTGTGTATTTCATACATCTTAATAAGATTCAGACCCCCTCCCCTCCTGCACTGGACCTCATGCATCCTGTCATACATGCTAGAATCGAGTCAAGTCTGCATCTCTGGATGTCCCTTGGTATGAGGTGTGAGTTCCTCCACTGAAGCCTGGTCAGTCTACCTAGCATCACTCCCTCAAAGACTAACTCTCCCTCATCCAGCAGTGATCAGCTGCCAATAGTTCCTCAGCTAAGGTTGGGGCTCCCCACCCGTTTCCCCAGTTCTATACTAGGTTTCTATCTGATTGAGTTTGCATGGGTCCTGTGCATGCTGACGCCATTACTCTAAGCTCACATGAGCAAGTTCCCAGCTGCCTGGAAAACTGTTTACTTATGATCATCCACCACCCCTGGCTTTTATAACCTTTTCCCAATACTCTGTAAGGCCACTTGGACTATTAGTTTAAGTGCAAATTTTTACTTTTATTTTATGTTATATTATATATTACTCCAAACTTTTGGCAAAAAAACATTCTTACTCAACTTTTTATGTCTCGAAAATACTGAAAAAAAATTGAAAAACTTTTTGAGACAGGGTCTAGCTATGTAGCTCTTGCTGGCCTTGAACTCAGATATCTGCCTGCCACTGTCTTCCCAGTGCTGGGATTAAAGGCCTGCGCCACCACACCTAGCCCAAGAATACTGAAAAATTTAAAATTCACTATGGCAGAATAAAATGCTATTGCATATAGCACCTGTAACACTAGTAACATTTCAATATAATATGGAAAGGAATTAAAGTAGATCACTAGGGAAGCCCTGACTTTGTATGGTCTAATTCCTTTTGCAAAATTATAATTTACAACTCTTTTTAAAAAATATTTTTGTTTTGTCTACGTGTACATGTGTGTCTGTACATATGTTCACGTGAGTACACTACCCTTGGAGGCTACATGAGGGTGTTGGATCCCCTGGAGCTGGAGTTACAGGCAGTTGTGAGCTGCCAGAATTAGGTGCTAGGAACTGAACTTGGGTTCTCTGCAAGAGCAGTACACATAGATACAGTTCTGGTTCAAGATAAGATGATTTATAAAAGTGACATTATATCTAATTGTTCTTGTTAAAACTAGAATGTGACTGAAAACATAAAGTCAATAAAGAGAGAATGAGACTGTTTTACAAATTCAAAATAAAGTAAGAATAAAGGGAACACCGAGACGTATTAAAGAAGCTGTTTGTCATTCTTTGTTTTAGAGATTACAACACATACATGTGAATTTTATCAAAATACAGCACATTTCTTCTACTATATCCATAAAAATCAATTCCTATGTAAATAGTACTGAAAATCAACTAAAATGAGTTAAAATTTACAAAGAGTTGTTAAAGGGTTTCGATCAAAATTATTAAAACTATACAGTACAATAACCAATTGATAACATCTTGAAAGAAGTGCAATATCTGAGTTCACATATTTTTAAAAGTGCTGACTGTTTGACTAGAAAAAATGGAAAGTGAATCCAACTCACTTTTGTAAAAATAATGCAGGTGGTGTTTCAGCTAGTCCTAAGAGTCTTAACTAAATCAAGGTTGAAGAAAACACATTAAAAATTTCCAAATTATGCTTCTTAGAAATTAAAAAATGAATTCAAGAACAGTATATTGCTCTAATAAAAGTTTTCAAACTAGCCTCAACTAAAAACAGTTATTGGTCTCCTATGGCACTTTTCTCTGGTCCAAATAACCATGCATTAATTCTTACCTTTGCATGTTACTCAAATTTTATTTGATTACATAGAACAAAAACAAACAATAGTTTGGATAAACAAAATTAATAAATTTCTATCAAATACTTGTTACAGTAACTAGGAACAAAGGCAGTTGGTGGTAAAACACTATTACAACGACACATTTAGAAACCCTTTAAAGACTCTGAAGTGTGGAGTTCACATTTAATGTTATCTGTAGAACAGCCCTTTATTTGAACACTTTACACACTGGTAGGCCTTAAGGACCCATCCCTTTGCTCTACAACTCTCCACAGCAATTCGTTATCACTGTGCCATTTTCACACACTTGCTTTGGTTTCCTAGCTCCATGCTCACTCTGTTTCCTTTTACTCTGCCAAGGCAATGCAAGGCTGAACAAAAATCAAGAGGCTTTCCTAAATCATCTTATAACTTTGTGTTATAGGCAACACAATCTTAAAACTGGCCATTTTAATTTCATTTGCTGCTTAAAACACAAATTATAAATTAGATTAAAATGGAGTACTATTTATAAGAACAGATTACAAGTACCACCATTTGCAAAAGAAAAAAAAATGAGGGGATTTCCATAGCACAGGAAATGCATAGACATGCATTTGCATTTGAATTAAAAACCTCTGTAACTAAAATATTGCTTACTGACGGAATGAGGAGCAAACATATAGTCAATGGCTACAACAAGAACATAGCTTGGAGAACACATAAAATGCCATTATTGTCTTTTAAATCTTGAAAAAGACATTACATATTTTATTGCATTATTCTATTAATAAAAACACATTAACATAACTTTTTTTCATTGTTTGCTTCCAGATTTTTGTAGGAAATAACTGTTTTAATCTGGCCTTGGAAAGTGAACCCACCAACACCAACTTCATCTACCCACTCTTCAATTCAATAAGCACATAGCAAAAGCCCACACTTCAAATCTCTTGTCCACATGAAAAAAAAGTAGTTTCAGCAGAAAAGAAACAAAACAAAACATTAATACCAGTCGGATAAAGATAAGGGCACAAAAGCTACGAGACAGACAGCTCTGCCATCTGTCTCTGGGCTACAATCAAGGCTAAGTATTGCCTTGCATACAGTCAGTCATGTGTATGAAATCCAAAAATAAACCTACGATCTATACAAAAACAACATCATTTTGTTTTTGTAGCCTTGATTGCTATGTTTAAAAACCTAACAACAAATTTCATATGGTATGAATTCAACATTCTTCTTTATGTTCTGTGCAGTGGTTCCTTCCCTCTAACCACAATCTCCATTACTTCATTAATGTACAAGTTCCAAGATAACTGTTTGAGTTCTTCTTTATATATAAAAATAGTCTAAATATTAATCTCCCTTGCAAGTCTCTTCCAATAAATCTTGCTGTCGTCCCCACTTTTTGTCCACAAAAGCTTATGAGGAAATTTCTCGAACAATGATGAGTTCTACTGTATTCTGGAAAGTTTTTAACAAGGACACTGCTTGTCCATGCTCAATATTGATAAAACTGTAGCCATTAGCCTAGAAGAAAGAGAAAAAAGAAAGCTTTTATTTGCATTTCTACATGTAAATTTTTGAGAGTCAGTTCACAAATCTAGCGGAAAAAAAAAGAACCACTCTGGCAATTTAAAACAACATAGGAGTTAGTGAGATAGCTCTTGCCTCCAAGTCTAACGACTTGAGTTTGAGCCTCAGGATCCGTTTGATGGAACCAGAGAACTAACTCCTCCAAGTTGTTCTCTAACCTGCACCCATATGCAATGCAACCATGTGAACACACACACACACACACACACACACACACACACACACACACACACACACACACACACATTTTAAAAGACAGATTAATGGTCCCCATTCCACATTTATGGAAATAAACTCTCTGAAGAGGGAATCCAGGAACTTTTATTTTGTCCATGTTTTCAGACAATTCTAATATAGTAGGTCCAATACTGGGAAGCACTTGTGTAAGTTAAGATCTGATGGTGGTGTGTCTATATGCAATGGTACACCCAAAGTTACTAAATGGCTAGGGAAACTGAGAACAAGGACTAGATAGATCTGACTGGTATTAATGTTTTGCTTTTTTCTGCTGAAACTACTTTTTTTCATGTGCACAAGAGATGTGAAGTGCTGGCTTTTGCTATGTGCATACTGAATTGAAGAGTGGGTAGATGAATGATAGCTCACATTCACTGGAGCTATCAGATCAAGACCAGCACACTCTTTATATGAAGACTAACACTTACTGAACTCTTGCTGTTTATCAGACATAGGTTGAAGTGCTTCCAATGAATCAGTCTTAACACTATAGATGCTTTCATCTTATTTTAGAGGAAGGAAAACCCAGAAATGGAAAGGTGTAGTAATTTCCCATCACAGAACTGAAACCACAGATTCCACATTTTATATATGTATGTGTGTGTATACACATACATACATATGTACACACACACTATATATACACACATACACACACATATATGTATATAGTGTGGGGGGAGGCTGGGGTGGAAAGGAAAAGAAAGGATAAGTGCTAAACATAGTGTGGCAAAGTATTATGAGTGATTGTTTACTAAATGAAGTGTGTATATAGGCTTTATGTTGTTCTTTTAGGTTTTCTCTGAGCTTCAAATTATTTGAAAGTTGAAAACTAAAAATTTTTATTTCATCTGGGTGTTACGGCACAGTCCTTTAATCTCAGCACTCAGGAGGCAGAGGCAGGCAGATCTCTGTGAGTTCAAGGCTAGCCTGGTTTACATAGTGAGTTCCAGGGCAGGTGGGGTTACAGGGAGACCCTGTCTCAAAAAGGACACAAAAAATTTTTATTTTCATGAATTTTCCTTTCGCCCATCAAAGGGGCCTTGCTAATTATTTCTCAGTCATTCCAATTTTAGCACTTGTTCTAGTGAAGCAGGCACTAAATTAACATTTCTAAAAAGTATAGGAGCAAGGATTCAAACTAAGGTGGTCTGGATCCAGAGTCTGTCCTTGTAGCCACTGAACTCTGTGTCAGTCATTTGGTTTGAAGGTTACTTCTCACTGATCTCTGAGCCACAACAGTGAAAGCAGGGGCAGAAGAGAAGAGCATACACTGTATCTAAGGCTTGTTTTCCTCCTAAGGGAATGCCCAAGTAACAGGAAAGGAGGGAAAATGGGAAAGAAAAAAGGGTTTCTCAGATTTTGAAATTTTACTATTTGATACAACAACTCATCTTTGATTCCCCTAATTAGCAAAAATAAATTTATATTTCTGAACTTAAATAAAATGCCATAATATATCAAACACATAAGCATGATTTTCAAGGTGTAAAGTAGAAATATTTCAATTATAAAAGCAAATAATAAAAAGGTTAACTTAATTACCTGAATAATTTTATCACCTGGCTGCAGTAATTTTGATGCTGGTCCTTCAGGCTGTACCCTTGTTACAAATATACCCTTTAACAAACAACAACAACAACAAATCATTATTCAACCCCACACTCCATATAGTGTGCGTAAAGAACAGTAACAAAGAACAGTCTTTTTTCCATACCATGCAAATATCTGAATGTGGTAGAAGTTGTCTCACTGGCTTCTTTGAGTAACAAAGACAAAACAATTTCTGCCTCTTGTAATTCTGACTTTAGCAAAGTAACGAAATTACCTCTATGAACTTGTAGAAAAGCAGTAACAAAATTAAAAATAATTTTATAATATCATGAACATTCACATTTTTGGTTAAATTTTTTTCCCTCAAACAACCTAGACTGATCAGGCTTCAAATTAAAAAGCCACTAGAGGGACTGGAGAGATGGCTCAGAAGTTAAGAGCACCAGTTGCTCTTGCAGAGGACCCGGGTTTGGATCCCACCACCCAAATGGCAGCTAACAACCATCTATAACTCCAGTTCCAGGGGATCCAATGTCTTCTTCTGTCCTCCTCGGGCATTGTACGTCATGGGTACACTTACATATATGCAGGGATTACACTCATACACATGAAAAAAAAAAGCCACTAGAGAAGAAATTAAAAGGATGTTCTCTTCTAGATTTACAAAAATATCTATAAGATTTTCATTCACACACAAGTATCAATAAATGAAGCCTTATGAGTTGTCAAGGACATATTTTTAAAAAACTTACATTATCATCAGGTCTGAATGGATTTCCTCTACCCCCAACACCTCCTGATATGCTAAATCCAAGTTCTGGATCCTTTTCTACCCTTACTCGAATCTGATTTAATATAAAAACAAAGGAAACATTACTATAAAAGAAAAACTGGCAAGACAACATCCATGTTTAACTTTTGGTGAATTAAGTTCATGTAGAGGAATATGCAAGGAGTCATTAAACACAAACATTTGGGGGAGATGAGGTGACACTACAACACAGAACAATATGTTAATGAGTTAGTAAGTTAAAGGCACAGTGGGATTACAAAGCATAGCTCCTAACTTTATCATTTTACTTTTGAAGAAAGGGCTGATCAAATGCTGCTGATTCTATTTTTTAGATGACATGAATTTTAAGGGCATGGTGCACACATACAGAACATATATGTCATCAGTTTCCACTTACGGAACATCTAAGTTGCACTGCCTCTGCCTACTACTAGCCTGTTTCATAAGATACTTATAACATTCACTGTTGGTTGGTTTTAGGATACCAACTCTTTATTCCCTTTATCTGTTTACATGCTTCAGGGGATTTGTTAAGATCAAATTAATTTACAGTAGTTTTTATAAACTAGTATAAAGTAAGAGATGCAAAACCAAAAACAAAACTTTTTTTTAAGACAAGGTGTCACTGTGTAGCCTGGCTGGCCTGGATTTGCTACACAGAATTCACAAATAATCCCCTGCCTCTGCCTCTGCCTCCTGAGTGCTCAGAGTAAAGGCCACTACTCCTGGCTTGTTTTGTTGTTTGTTTGTTTTTCAAACACAGGGCCTTACTAGGTAGCCTAAATGAGTCTGGAGTGTCCTATGTAATCTAAGCTGGTCTTGAATACATTGTCTTTCTGCCCCAGTCTTCCAAGTGCTAGGAAGGTTGGCTATAAAAACAAAGTTTTGTTAGCAAATACTCCCTCTCACTACAGATTCAATCAAAGCAAGTAAAATATTTGATCTCTATCAAGGCTTCTTTTATGATCACTACATAAATAAACCATCAAGATATACGAGCTTGTGGCCCATATATTTTTAAGGCCAAATCAAATACTTAACATAGTTTAGAAAGTATAAATTTCAAAATCTAAGAATGAAGACTCTGACATAAAAAAATGTATCATTTCAGTTTAACAGTCTACTAATTGTATTCCCCTCCCCCTCCCAAATTTAATGGAGTAGCATCAGTTTTGGATAAGCAACTGCCTTAGAATTTAAAAAAGCATACCCTCAATACTACTAAGTCCTACACTATATGATCACAAAGTCAAGTTAAAAACTACACACAGTAACACTTAATAAACGTAGCAGAAAGGTAAACTTAAAGTACTATGATAAAAACCATGTTAAAATTCTATATGGAATTATTGGTAATAATTAAGTAACCTATAAAAATACACAGAAAGTTTAGTCTTACGTTTCAAACAGTCTTGATTATTCTTACCTCTTGCTTTGCCAGTTCATGGCCTTGTCTAGGAGAACAATGGGGCTGGGTATATGGAGGTTGGTGGGCCACTTTCAGCATCAAATAATCAATTAGTTGTTCTCTAGAGGGATGCCTTGCCACAGACGCCTGAGGGGGATGATGTATTTGACTATAATTTGCCTGAGACCTGAGAGGCTGGCCCATCTGTCCATTACTCAAAGGCATCTAAGAAAAACATGAAGTATCTTAAAATGACCAATAATAATGTCTTATTACAAATATTTGGATATTCTTCTTGGAGCATTACAAAAGCACTAGTTGTAACATTCCAAATTATTCAATATTATGTCACTTACTATATATTCCTTTAATTTTAAACCTTCCAAAAGAAAAAAAAACTATTAATACCTTCATTATAAACTTACTTGAATGTTTGCTGGTAGAATCAGACTTTAAATAAAGGTCTCACATCTACATTTTAAACTATTTGTTTTTCTAATTGATATAAATCTATTGTTACACTTACCAAATGTTAAAAGTGGGAAGTAGTACACTGAAAAATTTAAAATAGTTGTTGGTATAAATAAAACACATCTTTATATAAAAAATATTTAAATTTAAGTGAGCCTATTAGAAGGCATCCTTCCCTCATTCCAAATCAAAAACACATCTAACACAAAAGGTACATCTGATTATTTTTTCCTCAGGAAAAAAGTAACTAATTCAGCAGTACAGTTTTTCCTAATTTGGATATATTTTTCTAACTTTATTTCTTCTTTTCCAGAATTAACAAGTTAATTCATTTATCTACAGAGAAAAAATTTTTTTTTTCCTTTAGAAACAGGGTCTCCCTGTAGCCCCAGTTGGCCTGAAACTCACTATGCAGACCAGGCTGGCCTCAGTCTCCACAATCTACCTGCCTCTGTCTCCTGCGTACTGGGATCAAAGGCGTGTGCCACCACGTCAGGCCGAAAAAATGTATTCTTTATACATGTGTACATGTATTGGTTAGCAATTCTCAAACTCTCTAAATGTTAATTCTATGGACTATTAAGCAAGATTTAAACTCTGATATTCTAATTTGTTTTCCACAAGTTACAAACAACACTTGGGATTATTAGTTGTTAATAAACTACCTTTAATACCTTTCATGTTTTAAGGAACTGAACCACAGGATTATTTTTGTAGCTAGTAACTTAGTCTGTTTGACGAGGAATCTAGCTAGAAAGATCCTACATTTGTATTATAAATGCTCACATAATAAAAAGTATTTTGTGCAGAATAAACGTTTAGGTTCGTCAATCATTTAAAATTTCCTTGTTGGTTAGCAGAAAGATTAAATGTCCACAAGGAAATTAATGGAAAGCTAAATTTTCCATAACAGAAAAGTTTCCTAAACATAGAAAAGTTTGGCAAGTTTCAGAACTACATGTTATGAGCTAGTATCTTGCTAAAGATGCAAAGAAATTTGGCTTTTGTGAAGAAAATTGTCCTCTAAAAAGGTACTCTTTTATTCACCAGTATACTATGCTACACTTAAAATTTTAAATGACTCTGAAGTCTAGAAAGAGACATGTACATGGGTGTTTTATGACAGGGCACAAGGATGCTATTACTCTATGACAAATCTTGTTTTGGTGAAGGATGATATGATTATGCTGAAATTTCTGGGAAAAATCCCCATTATATAGTTATTTGTTACTTGCTAATTGCAGATTTAAAGCTATTGAATTACCCAAGAATATTTAACTGGTCATGCTATTGTTTTATTACTTACATACAATTCTACAGATAACCCCTGCATTTATGTTTATGCCATTTATTCACATGTGCAGATTCAGTATTTTTCTCCTGACAAATATCTAGACAAAGAATATTTAACCCAAGGCCTCCCACATGCTATGCAAGTACTCGCCAGCTACCCCTCTAGCTCCTTTACCTGTTCTCTTTTTTAAAATTGTATTTAAGTGTGTGTGTGCAAATGCACATGCATGGGTGCATGGTGAGGGGAGAAGACAACTTTCAGGACATTGTTCTCTCCTCTTATGTAGGCTCTGGGGACTGAACTCAGATTGTCAGGGATGTCCAGTGCCTTTACCCACAGAGACATCTTTCTTGCTTAGCCCTCCCTGACCTATTCTTGCATGAGTGTATAACTAGGTCTCACTATGTAGCCCATACTAGCCTTCAACTCTTTGATCGTCCTGTCTTACTTAGCCTTTCAAGTACTAGGATATAGACATGTGCTATTACAACTAGCCTCACCTATTCTTAAGACTTCCTGATGCCTGGCTATTTCATTATGCCTAAATCAATGCTAAAAATAATAAATATATTAAGCCGTGTTAGCAAATGCCCCAGGAGATTAAAAAAGCATTAAAACAGTACACTAAACCACAAAACATATGTTAAAAAGAAAAAGAAACTGAATGACAGTTATCAACTAAAAAGGAAGAGGGATAAAATAAATATGTAAGATTTTTTTTTAATCAGATGGCTGGATGCCTAGCCTACCCTTAAGAGCAACATAAAAGTTTCAAATAAATATGCCTCATAATTGAATCTGGTTATTCTAGAGGCTAGTTAAGGAAACAAGAAAGAATAGCTGAGTAAGATTAATACCTATCTGACATTGCCAGAAATAATCTCTCTAGAAGAATGCCAATTTTTTTTCGTACAAAGTATGAAAGAATACAACCATCATCTGTTCTATTAAAGATCTTTCAAGATGATTTCTAATCATATCTGAAGAAATTTCAAATGTGTTTAGTAACAATAAAAGATTCTAAAATAGAATGCCAAAAAGTCCTTGATTCAATTCCTAAATTAAGTAGCCAATACTGTAGAGATCCCATGCAACTATACAATGATTCTCCAGTATAAAAAATCATGGCAGAGTCAAATTTAATCTTGCATTTATGAATCAATGAAAATAATCCTACTAATGAAAGCAAGAAAGCCCTTACAAAAACATTTTCAATGACATAGCATATGAGATTTCTAGTTCAAAGCTGCAAGGCACAGTAAGCTCAAAGACACTGCTCCATTTATTTCTGTGAACACCTACTTTCATCAAGCTGTCTGGAACTTCTCTGTGACTAAGTGCACCTGATGAGTAGTTCTGCTCTCCTGAAACCAATCTATCATCTTGGCAAGGATCTCCTGGACTGGATGTCTGGGGATGCTTCAAATGAGGAGGAAAAAGTAAACAAATAATATATTTTAAGATGCACAACAAAACACTAACAGTTGAAGATTAGGGAAGAAATAATGCTAGATAGCAGAAGAGAGAAAGACCCAAATTGGACACTGCAATCATTACTGCTATAATTAGTACCTTTAATTTCCTCCAAAGGCACATGGCAAGTTGTCTGTTCCTATAATGTGTAAAAATTTTACAAAGACAAGATACTGTGAATCTTTATTGCACCACTTGATGTTCTTTCCTTTAGACTTTTACTTGAGTAATATCTTTTAATATCATAAAGCAGTAATTTAGTCATTGATAAAGTTAATACTCTCAATTAAATTTTTTGTGTTTTATGTATATGACCATTTTGTACACATGTATGTAAATGCACTAGTGTGCAATGCTTCTGGAGGTCAGAAGAGGGTGTTGGATCTCCTGGAACTGGAGTTGAGAACAGTTGTTAACTGCCATGACAATGCTGGGAACTGAACCCTGGTCCTCTGCAAGAGCAGCCAGTGCTCTTAACTGCTGAGCCAGCTCTCCAGCTCCTTTAAACATAATCTCTTTTTAAATTTGTTTTGTTCAAGACCGAGTCTCACTATGTAGTTGGCCTGGAACTCACAGGGATCTGCCTGCTTCTGCTTCCCAAGTGCTGGGATTGAAGGTGTGCACTACCAACCATGCATGGCCTAATATTCTCATTTTAGGAGCAATACTGTTGAATACTGAAAAAGTTTTCTGATTCAAAGAAAATTAACTACTGCTGTTTATGTGTATGACTGTTTTATCTGCTATGGTGTATGTATGTGCACCATATGCTTACAGTGCCCTTGGAGGTCAGAAGAAGGCACCCAATTTCCCAGAACTGAAATTACAGGCTGTTGGGAGCCACCATGTGGGTGCTCGGAACCAATCCTGGGACCTCTATAAGAGCTTTACCTCTGAGCCATCTCTCTAGCCCTACTGCTATTGTTTTGATATCACAGTACCACACAGGATTTTCCCCATAAATTATAATGATATGTACGACCAAGAAACTTATAGTATAAAACTTGCTCTGGGTGTTGCAATTCTGTTACATTAACATTAACAAAAAAGGTTGTAAGGGGAGAAAGGTCTTTCAGGACAGAAGGAAATATTTATAGAATCCATGTTATCACAGTTAAGTCCTTATGGAGAAAAAAGCTTGACTATTGAGCCATGACAGAGATGTTGGGTTCTTTCCAGGAAGTCCTTATGATTTGCTCTTCCACCTTCATTAGAATAATGGATGCTTCACTGCTAAGGACTGTGATGAAATGCAGTTAATTGAGTGTTTGGGTTCTATCTTTCCATTAATACTTACTACAACTTTTCTAGTCTCATATTTAATCATATTCAGTGAAATAGGCCTAAACTTCATTGCATGTAATGCTTTTTATTAGCTAATTCATAATTACTGGACTTAAAATTATTCCTCCAAAAAACTCTTTGGATTACATATGGCATAGTTTTAAAACTGTAAGTTAGGAAGAGTGAGCCAATTTTAGTATTAAGAGAGAAACACTGCAAAAATTAGTTAAAAACCTTTCAGACAGATCTCTTTTGTAGAAATAAAAAGAGTTGACTAAATCTTTAACAAGATTTAAAAAAATGAAGTGATAAAAGACTAAGTTTTAGAAAAAGTTAAAGAACTAAACCATAAAGAGCTCAGAGAATATGAAGATTTCTGACTCATAAAAAATTTTTTTCTAGAAATGTTAAAACACTTCTTAAGAATCTGAGTTTTCTATGTGCTAACAGTACTGGCCTACTGTAGGTACTCACTCGAAAAACGTGCCCAACAGAACCTCTTCCGTCTGCAACACTCAAGGCAAGACTGCCCTGGCTGCCATGCAGATCCCTAGAGCTGCCATAGTGAGAGCTGCTTACAGCAGTAAAATTGGAATTAAAGGACCTTGACAGCATGCTCTGAATAAAGAGAGGATAGATTTAACAGAGATTAGTGTAGCTACATGCAAAATCCACAAGACATGTTATGTACACAGATTTCTTTACATGTAACCCTATCCATACCACATACAAATATCATGCAACACTGGATTTTTCAGAGCCTCTGAAAGAAACTAGAACTATTCACCATACATTTATATAACACACACATATACACATAAAGAATACATAGAAATAGAAATATAACCATTTTATAATTATACCATTATAATACAACCACATTTTAAGAACCAAAGAAAGTGCAAACATATAATTGCTTTTATTTATCAAGTACTATTATTTCCTTTATTCCTAGCACATTATATGCCAGAAATAGAAACTGATGCCACACCCGAAAGTGTGTATAAAGTTGTATATAAGCTCATTCCTCTCTATACAGATGAATTTACCAAGTAATTCCAAGTCAAATAAAACTGTAGAGAATCAATTTCATCCTATAGGAATTCTCTTATTAAGTAACATGAAAATTTAAAGTATATGTTATTGCAAAATATATTTGCGATAAATACCTGGCTGATGTTTGTTTCCATTGTCTTAAAAAATTATTTTCCACATTTTGAAAAATATCTTAGAGAAAAGTTTAACATTATGTAAAATTTTAGGATGAACTTTTAAAATATTTTATTTATATTTTATGTGTATGAGTATAATGCCTGCATGTATGTGAGTGCACCCTTGTTGTGCAAAGTCGCAGAGGTCAGAAGAGGGCTTCGGATACCCCTGGAACTGGAGTTAAGGATGGTTCATAGCCTCCAGTGGATGCTGGGACTCGAACCCCGGTCCTCTGCAAAAGGAGTTAGTACTTTTAACCGCTGAGCCATCTTTCTAGCCCCAGGATGAAGTTTTAAAAATATGTGTACATGTATGCATGCCAGTGGAGGCCAGGAGAGGGCATCGGAACCCCCTCATGTGGGTGCTGGGAACTAAACTCCAAGCCTTTGGAAGAGCTTAGTCACTAAGCCACCAATCCAGCCCCTAGAATGTAACTTTAGTTTCTGCCACTCTGCCAGGCGTGGTGGCACGTGACTTTAATCCCAGCACTCAGGAGGCAGAGGCAGACAGATCTCTGTGACTTCAAGGCCAGCCTGGTCTACATAGGGAGTTCCAGGACAGCTGGGGCTACAGG